GGCTTCTTAGGTTTCCAGAAAGAAACATAAAAGTGGTGTTACGGAAGAATTATTTTCCATCTCACCAATAGCGCTGTTAAGATTTTTCTCAAGAAAATATATAAACCATTGGCGGTGAGATATGATGTGCCAAACATTCCGGTGTATGTAACTTTATCATACCCAGGTTTATTCTGTATTAAAGAAGAATACTGAAGCGTATTCTTGAAATGGTCTACAAACGCATTGATTTTCAATTCATCATGAAGTTTGAAGTCCATCTGGGTCAGTTGTTGTCATTTAAAAAACGAATTTCTTTTTTCAAACGCTCACGTGTCTTGTATCGGTTTAGATTGTTTTACTGTTTCCAATTAAATTAGACCCACATTACAAGGACAGTAACGATACCTTTTCTGCCTAATCGGACTCGCATTATATGGATATTAATGATACTGTTCTGTTGATCTAAATGTTTTCTGCTTAATCAGACTCACATTATATGGACATTAATGATACTGTTCTGTTGATCTAAATGTTTTCTGCCTAATCAGACTCACATTATATGGACATTAATGATACTGTTCTGTTGATCTAAATGTTTTCTGCTTAATCAGACTCACATTATATGGACATTAACGATACCTTTCCATTGATCGAAATGTTTCCTGTCTGATCAGACTCGCATTATATGGACATTAATGATACTGTTCTGTTGATCTAAATGTTTTCTGCCTAATCAGACTCGCATTATATGGACATTAATGATACTGTTCTGTTGATCTAAATGTTTTCTGCCTAATCAGACTCACATGATATGTACATTAATGATATTGTTCTGTTGAGCTAAATGTTTTCTGCCTAATCAGACTCGCATTATATGGACATTAATGATACTGTTTTGTTGATCTAAATGTTTTCTACTTAATCAGACTCGCATTATATGGACATTAATGATACAGTTCTTTGATCTAAATGTTTTCTACTTAATCAGACTCGCATTATATGGACATTAATGATACTGTTCTGGTGATCTAAATGTTTCCTGCCTAATCTGACTCGCATTATATGGACATTAATGATACAGTTCTTTGATCTAAACGTTTTTTGCCTAATCAGACTCGCATTATATGGACATTAATGATACTGTTCTGTTGATCTAAATGTTTTCTGCCTAATCAGACTCGCATTATATGAACATTAATGATACTATTCTGTTGATTGAAATGTTTCCTGCCTATTCAAACACACTTTACATGGACAGTAACGATACTGTTTTATTGATCAAAATAATAAAATTGGATATGATGGTATAGCTTGATTAAATTGTTGATATATTTTCCTTCCAATATTCCAGCTAGGCCAGATCCTGTCACTAACTGTAGCATTGAAAATCAGACGGAAAAATCGTTTATGGTCGTTTGTTCATCAGGGGATGATGGTGGGCTTATCCAACAGTTCCACCTCGAGGTCTTCATCAAAAACAGCCAAGCTTTACTTGTGAATCATACAAGCCTTGATCAACCAGTTTTCGAAGTGAGTGATCTTCCCCCCGGTAGTCCCTTGAGAATCACAGTTTATGCTTCGAATACTAAGGGGAAGAGCCCTGCTGTTTTGCTTGAGACAAGAACGCTACTCTCGGCCGAAAAACATACAGGTGAGACGATCTGGATTGTCTTAGGATCCTGGTTTCAGTAGTGAAGTTTAAAATGATCTTTTACGAATAGAGTATGCAATAGATACAAGTAGGATTGTGCTAGGATTTGCTTTAGGATTTTAAGCTTAATATTAAAATTGGGAATAACGTAGTTAGAAATAGTAGAATCAATCAGTAAATAATGCAAGTTCAAAAAAAGGGAATGCTTCAGATAGAAGGCTAAGAATTATCAATTTAAGAACTCTAGGACTCATCAAAGGATCTGAAGAGGAAACGTAACACAGAAGGTTAAATACGTTATATACTAATGATTTTGAGTCTCACCACGATGTCACAGTCCGTTTTGCTACGTTCGGCTATCCTCTGTCTGACGGTCGTAACTGTTGAAAATAGTCATATAGCGTAATTTCCATTGCTTACGGCTCATTCGTAACGCTGTCGTGTTAAAAGCACACTATTCCTCTTTTCATGCTTTCCATAATCCATCGTAAGAAATACCATGAATACCCGTTTCATTATCCTGCTTCTTGAGGTATGCCATTTAAATAATTTGTGAAAAAGTTATTTGTGTCGTTTTTCCAAAAGAAGGACATTTTTTTATTATGTTGCGTACTGTTGTTTGGGTGAATGGATGAATTTTTTGTTCGTGGATTCGCAACTGCTAAACAAATGCTGCACTTTGCAGCTGGAGTACTCCTTCTTGCAGGTCTCTTTCTGGATGGCCTTAGTGCATAAAGTTGATCCGAATTCCTTTACTTTCCAATGTCATTAAATAAAAAAAGATACCTCCAGTCTTGTAAATTATAGAATCCCTATCTAAACACATCTTTATGATCTAAGTGTATGAATACTTTGCATTCAGAAGGGTTGCTACATATCATTCCCAAAAGCGATTGATTTTCGGTGGAATCACACTACATAGAAAACACAAAACAATGTCAAAATGTAGTTCTAATATATACTTTACACTGCGACTTCATATCACCTGTAATTGTCACGTGACTTTCTGATTTCCATATTCTAGATCGTTTTAATATATCATATTCAGTCGTATTCTGTATAGCTATAACTGACACTCGTGGTAGATACTGAGTGATTGTCAGTGAGAGCTTTACATTTATCAAGGAAGACAAGATGTTCTAGAATAGATTAGGCTTAACATTCATGATCTAATTAAAAATGACAAGCATTATGGCTTGGCTTCATTCTTCGTGTTATTGTATGTAGTTTTGTTTTGAAGTATAGAAATCTAAGGTAGGCTTATTTCATTTTATTCAATGATTCACTTTTCCAAAACTCAATGAAAAATATAAATAAAGTGTCAGCAATGACATATTTACTGCAAAACCACAATATAAAGTCTTATCACTAATGAAGTATTTACTGCAGTAAATATATAATCTTACCATCAATGAAATATCTACTGCATGATCGTAATCCATATATAATATTATGACAAATGAAATATTTATTTCAAGATAATAATTCATGATTAATCATATCACTAATGACGTATTTATTACAAAATCATAACTAATATATAATCTTTCTTTTGGGTCAACTCTCGTGTTCTTTTATGAAATTTCTTAGTTAGTTATATCTATATGACTGAGAAAAATGTTTGTAGAATTGGCTTATTTGTTGCTGTTGCCAATAGTCCATAACCTTATTACACATTCACGTATGGAGATACTAGTTGCTGTTGCCAAGAAACCATAAGCTTATTACACGTTCACGTATGGAGATACTAGTTGCTGTTGCCAAGAAACCATAACCTTATTACACGTTCACGTATGGAGATACTAGTTGCTGTTGCCAAGAAACCATAACCTTATTTCACGTTCATGTATGGAGATACCAGTTGTTGTTGCCAAGAAACCATAACCTTATTTCACGTTCACGTATGGAGATACTAGTTGCTGTTGCCAAGAAACCATAACCTTGTTACACGTTCACGTATGGAGATACTAGTTGCTGTTGCCAAAAAACCATAACCTTGTTACACGTTCACGTATGGAGATACTAGTTGCTGTTGCCAAGAAACCATAACCTTGTTACACGTTCACGTATGGAGATACTAGTTGTTGTTGCGAAAGAATCATAACTTTGTTATGTGCTCATATGTCGTAAAAGATGTTAATACGAGATATTTTTTATAGAACACTGTTTTTTCCCTCAAACTCATCTTTCCTTACTGCTACACTTTATAACAGTTATAAAACTCTGTTTTTAAAGCATGAACAAGTAAGATATACAACTAACTTTATTACCACGACAAGAACCACTCTTTCTCATTCAAGCCTCTATAAAACGTGATTTTATGTTTGACTGTAATTTTTTTAACCAATCAATTCTAAATGTTTTTAAGAGTTATAACCCAACATTTTCTTCATGTGCAGGGAATGTTCTTCCACTTTTCATTAGCCCTCTACTGGCGATTTTACTTGGAATTATTATCGTACTGGTAACCCTAGCTGTGATTATCCTCATTATCGTAAAACGAAGAAGAACCAGATTACAACAAGGTAAGTTCGTTTTTATCTTTATACATCGTTTCAGTAAGTTGAACAAAGAAAGTATATAAAAAAAAACTTTGAGAATACCTCTATATATTGTACTTTGTCAAATATCATTCTGGATCAATTGGTGGGAAACCTAAGCTAACCTATGATCTACACGTGCGGCCCTCAAACACCCTCAAGAATCGCGAGACCCCTTTGCCATTCACAAGTCAAATATCATACAATGGAATAAAAATGAACTGTATATGAAACGTATCTTAGGATGCAGAAGGAGGAGCCGTGGGCTAGCCACTCCTCGCCTAGATCATATTTCTATGTAACCTGTTTGCTACACAAGCAAAATGCCCTATTTAGTTTAGTTGGCCAGGCCTGATGACATTCAGAAAAGTTAAATCAAATAAATGTTAGTATTATTCATCGAAAAACTTTAAGATCTCGTGTACCACTATATACTATAAATGAATATGTATGTTAGGGAGAGTTTCTTGTAACTTCATTAGCTAATCAGGCAGAAAGGTCGTGTTTGGTAAACCCTAACTTAATTTTTACACTGTGCAGCAGACCGAGACAGCTGTGCTGATTGAGAATATAAAACTCTAGTTTGGAATTTACTGTTGTCTTTTTCGATGTTTTGATTTCTTTTTAAAGGTAAGTGAATATAGACAAAATTGCACTTTTAAAAAATTCCTAGAGCTCGAGAAGATAAACAATATTGGATCGAAAGAACGTTCACACCAAGATTCTGTACATATCTAAACTTTGCCAGCATGTTTGATGTTGAATGAGCATTTATCGATTACGAGGATGAAGTCCGGACAAAAAATAACTATATTAGCTATGAAGCTAAATAGCATTTTAATTATCCAATTTCGTTCTTTCTACACAAAATCATGTTTTCCATACGGATCCATACATGTACGGAGAACCTGCACCGAAAAACTGTAAAAGATGTTGAAAAGGTTAAATTTTCATACGGATCCATAGCTTGCAGAGGGAAAAAGCTACGTGGACAAAGAGTAACAGATGTATAAGGTTATAATTTCAAATAGGTCCACATCTTGCAGAGGAAGAAGATATAGTGCAAACTGTAAATGATTGGAATTGTTTTAAACGTTCATATTCTGAGTAAGATTTTTTTATAGTGGACCCGACATCCTCCAAAATGATTCAACTTCTGCATAGCAGTGATGCCTAAGAAGTGGCACTCGTTTACTCGCACGTTATCAGTCCATTCTACTTTGACAAATACTTTCCAAGTTCCACGATACAAGCCAAAGTCCACTGTTATGGAACAAACAGACCGTTATATAGAGCACTATCAATAGACACTAAAGCGAAACATTCCAATTACTATGATGAGGGGGAGGGAAATGATGCAATGATGATGTATTGAGTTGAATTGCGTGGCATGCATTTAAAACCTTAATTACTGATGAAAATATGTGCATTTCTGAAAGGTACCACCCTTGGATTAATGATTATTTTGGTTTCCAGGGCTTTTTCTCCCTAAAATGTGTATTACCTCCTTCTGTGAGATTAATATTGATGTTTCAAAGCTATTTTTGTTTAGGAAAATAATTACATTTAAACAGAGGAGTTTTGTTTAACAATTATTTCGCGAATGCACTCAGATATGACAATGTTTTGTTTAGGAAAATAATTACATTTAAACAGAAAAGTTTT